TGCCGGGAGCAGTAGTCTTCCGGCACGGGGCTTCCGGGAGGCCATGTTGCTTTGCGCGGTGTGCCGGGAGCAGTAGTCTTCCGGCACGGGACTTCCGGGAGGCCATGTTGTTTCGCTCTGCCTGCCGGGAGCAGTAGTCTTCCGGCACTGGGCTTCCGGGAGGCCATGTTGCTTTGCGCGGCCTGCCGGGAGCAGTAGTCTTCCGGCACTGGGCTTCCGGGAGGCCATGTTGCTTTGCGCGGCCTGCCGGGAGCAGTAGTCTTCCGGCACTGGGCTTCCGGGAGGCCATGTTGCTTTGCGCGGCCTGCCGGGAGCAGTAGTCTTCCGGCACTGGGCTTCCGGGAGGCCATGTTGCTTTGCGCGGCCTGCCGGGAGCAGTAGTCTTCCGGCACTGGGCTTCCGGGAGGCCATGTTGCTTTGCGCGGCCTGCCGGGAGCAGTAGTCTTCCGGCACTGGGCTTCCGGGAGGCCATGTTGCTTTGCGCGGCCTGCCGGGAGCAGTAGTCTTCCGGCACTGGGCTTCCGGGAGGCCATGTTGCTTTGCGCGGCCTGCCGGGAGCAGTAGTCTTCCGGCACTGGGCTTCCGGGAGGCCATGTTGCTTTGCGCGGCCTGCCGGGAGCAGTAGTCTTCCGGCACTGGGCTTCCGGGAGGCCATGTTGCTTTGCGCGGCCTGCCGGGAGCAGTAGTCTTCCGGCACTGGGCTTCCGGGAGGCCATGTTGCTTTGCGCGGCCTGCCGGGAGCAGTAGTCTTCCGGCACTGGGCTTCCGGGAGGCCATGTTGCTTTGCGCGGCCTGCCGGGAGCAGTAGTCTTCCGGCACTGGGCTTCCGGGAGGCCATGTTGCTTTGCGCGGCCTGCCGGGAGCAGTAGTCTTCCGGCACTGGGCTTCCGGGAGGCCATGTTGCTTTGCGCGGCGTGCCGGGAGCAGTAGTCTTCCGGCACTGGGCTTCCGGGAGGCCATGTTGCTTTGCGAGGCCTGCCGGGAGCAGTAGTCTTCCGGCACTGGGCTTCCGGGCGGCCATGCTGCTTCGCGCGGCATTACGGGAGCAGTAGTCTTCCGGCACTGGGCTTCCGGGAGGCCATGCTGCTTCGCGCGGCATTCCGGGAGCCGTTGCCTCGGCATTACGGGAGCAGTAGTCTTCCGGCACTGGGCTTCCGGGCGGCCATGCTGCTTCGCGCGGCATTACGGGAGCAGTAGTCTTCCGGCACTGGGCTTCCGGGCGGCCATGCTGCTTCGCGCGGCATTACGGGAGCAGTAGTCTTCCGGCACTGGGCTTCCGGGCGGCCATGCTGCTTCGCGCGGCATTACGGGAGCAGTAGTCTTCCGGCACTGGGCTTCCGGGCGGCCATGCTGCTTCGCGCGGCATTACGGGAGCAGTAGTCTTCCGGCACTGGGCTTCCGGGCGGCCATGCTGCTTCGCGCGGCATTACGGGAGCAGTAGTCTTCCGGCACTGGGCTTCCGGGCGGCCATGCTGTTTCGCGAGGCCTGCCGGGAGCAGTAGTCTTCCGGCAATGGGCTTCCGGGCGGCCATGCTGCTTCGCGCGGCTTTGCGGGAGCAGTAGTCTTCCGGCACTGGGCCTCCGGGAGGCCATGTTGTTTCGCTCAGCATGCCGGGAGGTGTTGCCTTCCCATGCTGGACTTCTGGGAGACCGTTTTGTGCCTCTTGAGAGCGACAGGTGCAGTTCTCTGTCAACAGTAGTCCCACCAGGTGGCCACATTGTGGTCAGTGGCAGGCCAGGAGCTGTACTTCCAGGTGCCTGTGCTCTCTCAGCTGTGCAGCAGTGGCCCGGTGTGTCTGTTCCTTACTGGACGTGTGCCGCTCACAGGAGAGTCCCCATACGTCATCATGGACAGTGGAGTTTCCTTGTCTTTCTCTGGTACAGGGCAGAAAGTGTTTTCCATCTCTGATGTGACCAGGCAGGGTGGTCCCCAACGGGCTGGGGCTGTCCCTGTTGGCAATGGGGAGGGCAGGGAGCGTGTGAAGAGCTGCGGGGGCTCCTGGCAGTCATGGCTTTGCTCAGGCTCGGCACCAGTTAAGCAGCAGCTATGAGGAGCGGCAGTGCTGGGAGGGGATGGCACAGAGCTATCCTGTTTTGCAGCACGAGGGAAAGTGCTAAAGGAAATGCGACCAGCATTGTTTCTGTCCAAGGACCCTAAAGAGCCTGAGAGACCCTGGAACAGCCACAGGCACCCCTCAGCAGCCCTAGGGACACAGTGTCATTGCCTCCCAAGGTTACTGCATTCAGGTACCTTTAACTGGGTGGAAAGAGCCTGCAGGAGCCCTGGGCACAGGTGCAGAGAATCCCCAGTTGCCTCTAAGGACCTGGAGCTATACGTGTTTTCTTTACAAAGATGGGATCTCTTGGATGCCTTGCTGCTGCTTCTGTGTTGCTTGGTGCCCAGGTCTGCTATGTTCAGACCCACCCTCCTTGGTCCCCTCCGCGCTGTTGGAGCTGCTGGCCAGATCAAAAGGGGTGTGCGGCTAAGAACTAGGCCAGGGTGTCTCAGCTGCCTGGTATACGACAAACGAGGGGGGGGGAGATCAGTGACAGGACATAGAAGTACATGCAGATGAGAAATAGCTGCTCCAAAGGACTAAGATGCAGGGGCAACTGAGAGGAGTAGAAGTAGCAGGGGAAAATGGTGATGAGGAAGGTGTGTTGTTAGAGGCAGTACAGTAGAGAAGAAAGGGGGGGAAAATGCTCCTCTGATGAAATAAGAACTGTCCTGAAGAGAGATTTGCTTTTTGCCCTTCAGGTTATGAATCTGCATGACTTCCTGAGAACTATTTTGAGCATGTGGTGTTAGAGATCACGACTGCCTGGGTAGCGATCCCCAAGTTGTCTACCAAGACTACATAACAGCTGATAGCACTGCCTGTGGAATTAAAACAGAGGCCAACTTCTCAGAGGTAAGAGGCAGGGTCCAAGCAGAAGGATTATGGCAGGTGAGTTAATGTCCCAGAACCTTCAGTTTTCTGCCTCGTCCCCCCAGGACTCACCCGTTTGCTCCCTAGTTCCCTCAGGACCTATCCATTTGCCTCAGAAGTCTTCGCTTCTTTCTAGTTCCTGCACAATTACCCTGCTATTTGGTGTCTGTGAGCCCTCTGGTAGCATCAGGACTCCTATATTTGTCTGCTTGTCCTATTAAGTCCCCTCTCTTTTCCCTCTAGTCCCCTCAAAACCCCTCCATTAGCTATTGGTGCATTCTAGAGCCTTTATTTTTCCCTCTAGTCCTCTCAGGATGCCTATTTGCCCTCTGAGCCCCTTAGGGCCCATCTCACTGCCCTTTAGTCCCATCAGAACGCCTGCAATTGCTACACGCTGCCCTCAGGACACCTATTTGCCTTGGGGGCGCTTCAGAACCCTATGCATTCATTGCACCCTTTCAATGTGCCCTAAAGCCCTCCTTTTCCATTGGTTGCAGCAGGGTCTTCCCTACCCCCTACCCCTATGACCATTCTGTGTGCCCTCTATCCCATCGGGTCCCCTTTCCTTCCAGTCCCCTAAAGGCTCCTGTCTTCCTTTCTCATGCCTCAGAGCACTCTGTCCTCTAGTCTGCTCAGAATCGTTCCATGCGGCACGTAGTCTCAAAACTGCTGGCCTCCATTGTGCTCCAGCACCCCCCTAAGTGCCCTCCAATCCCACCTCAGCTCCTACTTGCAAGTTTTCGGTTTCTCTCAGATCCTTTACTGTTCTCCTTCTTTGCCTCTTAGTGCATACCATATTCCTCCATTTCCTTTCAGTGCGCCTCACGCCCTCTCAATTACCCTCTAGTTTCTTCAGAATTTCCTATATTTGTTTTTCAAAGCACCCCAGAACCCTGTGTTCTCCTGTTGCGCTCTAGGGCTCTGTTTGCAACCTAGTCCCATCAGGACTGGTTCTTTCCCCCCACAGACCTCTGCTGGCCCTCCTAACCCCTTAGCACCCCACTAAGGCACTCTGGGCTACTCTTTCCGCCTTCTTTGTGCCCCAGAGCTGTCTTCTGGCCCTCCAGACCCTTTAGCACCCCCCTTCAGAACTAATCTGGAGGCCTTAGTTTTGTCCCCAGAGCCCTTTTTTGGTCCTCCAGATCCCACAGGGCTCCTCCTATTCCCTCAGAGCACCTCATGAGGTCTTCTTTGTTCCCCAATTCTTAGGCTTTTGCCTTCTCATCCCCGTTGGGCCCCTCTTGTCCGCCGAGAACCTCTCCTGACTGCTTCCTTGTTCCCCAGAGTCATTTTTTGGCCAGGTAGAGCCCCTCTAGTGTGCTCCGGACTCCCCTTCCGGCCTTCTTTGTGCCCCAAAGCTGACTTTTCAACCTGTAGCCCCCTTAGCCCCCATCCGGTCCCTTCAGAACCCCTCCAAAGGCCTTTGTTGTGCCCCAGAACCCTCCCTTTGCTGTTCAGCCCTCTTAGCACCCCTCTAGTCTACTCTGGATGCCTCTTTTGGCCAGAATTGCGCCCCAGAGGCTTTTTTTGGCCCATCAGTTCCCTTAGGGCCCCTCTAGCACACTGTGGGCTACTCTTTGGCCTTCCTTGTTCCCCAGAGCTGTCTTCTGGCCCTCCAGACCCTTCTGGAGCCACTAGTCGCCTCTGAACCCCTCTTGAGCATTTCCTTGCTCCCCAGAGTCTTTTTTTTGGCCATGTAGACCCCTTAGAACCCCCTCTAGGGTGCTCTGGCCTACTCTTTTGGCCTTCCTCATTTCCCAGTGCTGTATCTTGACCCTCTAGACTGATTTAGGACCCCTGTAGTGCCCTCAGAATGCCTCCGGAGCCTTTCGTCGCACCCTGGAGCCCTGTGTCGGGGCTCCAGCCCCCAGTTCTGCTTTGGGCCTTTCTTTTGACCTTTTATCTTCCCTCACAGAGCTCTGTTGGCCCTCTAGGCCCTTTAGCACCCCTCTGGCGTGCTCTGGACTCTTAGCCTTTTCTTTTTCCCCGGAGCTGTCTTTTGACTCTCTCGATCCTTTAGGAGTGTTGTAGTGTCCTTAGAACTGCCACTGAGGCCTTTCTTATACCCTAATGCTCTCTGTTCATCATCTAGTGGTCTTAGTAGCCTTCTTTTCCCCCTTGGGGAGGCTTTACATGTTCTCTACTGGCTTGTTTTTATTGCTCTCTACGGCCCTTGGAAACATCTAATCTGGTCTGGGTTCTTCCGTACAGCTTTGTTGCTTTGCACAGACTTCTGTCGGTCCTGCAGACCTCTGAGTTACCCCTTTATTTTATTTTATTCTGAATTCTTCTTTATTGTGCCCCAGAGTGCCGTGTCAGTCTTTCAGCCCTCTTAGCACCTCTCTCGTGTCCTCAGGAGCCATCCTGAGGTCTCCGTGTGTCAGTCCTCTGGTTACTGGCACAGAGATAGTATTCTCCTGGGTACCTAGCCATTCTATCCACTGACCCCTTTTTCTAATCATTCTAGGTACTATACAGGAAACATTCCTTTTCAGAAGTGCTTCTATAATAGAAGAGGACTCATTCCAGGAGTTCACTTTAATATCTTGGTTTGCCCTACAGGAAATACTGCCCTGTCAGAACAACTGTATTCTATAAAGATCTGAACTAATTAGAGGACTGTGGTATAGCATTCCCTTTCTAGGCTATGTAAATTGCAGTTTTGTTTCTAAGTATAAGCAGAACTGATATTTAGCTTTTAATGTAAAGACTCGTGCTAGTTAGGGCAAAAAGAAGTTAAGCAACTTACCTTTTGATATTGTAGACAAAATATGAAGTCCTAGTAACAAAATGGCTGTTCTGTTTCATAGGAGAGGTCTCTTTATCCTTTCTGTGCTCTACGTTCTAGATGCTGAGCAGAAGAAGAAGATTTGCTTCTGCCGAGCCCTATCTATTTATGGCTGCCATTGGTTTGCCCCTCCCCTCCGAAGGACTTGTGGGTAGGGCAGTGGGTGGGGCCTAGGGTTACATAAACCGGGGGTCTCTCCCCACTGAGGTCATTCTGCTTTTGGTCTCCTGCATCGGCAGTGCTCTGGAATCACCTCAGCCAATAACAGCAATTGAGGCTGTAAAGCAATCCTAGGAGACCCCTTCCTAGAGCTGGGGAAACAAAGGCCGTTCATGAACGTAAGAGCAGCGGGACGGCTCTGTGTTTTTTTTTCTTAGGCTTTGCATGAAGTCGTGGCGTGGAGAAGCTGAGTGCCGAGAAGGAGGCTGAGCAGGTGCGAGGGGCAGCTTGTGGTGGAGAGCTTTACGGTGCGGCAGGGTGGTGTCAGGCTGCCTCTGGGTGATGTCCTCTGCTTTGCTTTTTCAGGCGCTGTGCGGGTGTCTTCCGGAAGGGCTGAGGATTGGAGGTGAGCAGAGCAGCGTGTCAGTAGTCATAGGGCTGTTGGGTGCTGTCTGGTCACAGAGTAACTTTGTTGTGTTGGTTTTCCCAGGTGCTGGTGGGGGGGGGGGGGGAGTCA